GGCGGGAAAGGAAGGGGAGCGGACTGGAGAGGCTTCTTCCGCTTTGTGGAGACGCTCAGAGAGGTGGGTTTGCTTGTTACCCCTGTTTTCCAGCCTCAAGTTCAGACACCTGCCTCAAGTCCTTCCCTGGTAGGTGGCTCTGCAGACACAGCTCCCGGGGAACTGGGGCCTGGTGGCTTCCACGGTGACACCACCATTACCTGCCCCTGTGCTCTGAATCCAGGCTGACGGAGGCCACGGCCCCGAGTTTGCTGGGGCCCTGGAGGCCCCCACCCACATGTGACCTTCTTCACTTCCGCTCAGAGGCACCGGCCGGGGTCCGCCGACGACAAGAGGACCGTGGGCGGGGGTGGTGGTGGCGGCGCTCATTCTCTGCAGGCCGCGAAGACAGAGCAGAAGCATCGGCGGCCTCTGCACCCACCCGGGAATGGATGTGCGCACGACAGGGATGGCCTGTCCCCGTGTGTGCCCGGAGGCGGCTGACAACGCAGGGGGGTCCCCGCCCCGTTCGTTTGCAGCCCCCCACGCCTACACGCCCTCTCTTTCTCCAAACCTCTTGGTCACTTGCTGCAGCCGCGGGCCCACCTGCCCGCACAGGCCCCGCGTTCTGGGGGCGATGGGTCACCGCTGGATACCGCAGGAGGGCTCACGAAGGAATCTCTGCCCTTCGCCCGAGCCTCCGGCAGCCGCGGACGCAGGGTTTTCTCACGAGGGACTTGGCCTGGTGTCTTTCTGGGGCTCCCGAGCACGGCCCAGACAGGCTCTGCAAGATGAAAAATAAAGCGTTGTTTTTACGACGCTGTGAAAAGCCTGCCTTCTCCTCCTAGGAAAAAAGCTTATTTATGTCCGCGTGCGCAGGGGTTTGCAGTAAATGTGGAAGGATTAAGCCTTGGAAACTGTCCATTTATATCCATGAGTGATGCTTGGCCTCTGCCTGGGAGGGGAGGGAGGCCCCCCGGGGCAGGGCAGAGTCAGTCCCCCGTCACTCAATCACCCCGGGGGGGGGTCATTTGTGAAGGGTTCCCGGAGCCCCCACTGCCCGCGGGGCCTAGGTCAGGGGCTGGGGGCCAGCGCCGAGCACAGGGGGCAGGGGTGAGGTGGGTGAGAGGGGTTGGAGGGTAGAGGCTTCATGGAGGGGGGAGGGTGGAATGGGCCAGGGGAGGGGTGGCCCTGGTGGCACCGTGGGAGGGGAGGAGGCGGGCTGGGGGAGCCAGTTTGAAGCCCAGCCTTGCCCATCCGAGCTGTGGGACGAGGCTGTGATTCTCCAACTGGGTGTCGGAGATTTAGGGCGCTGGGACAGGTCGGTGCCTGGCGTGGGGGAAATGGCCTGTTAATACTAGTTAACGAGGCACTAGAAAGGCAGTCGAGGGCCTGAACGTCCAGGGAGGAGCTGATGCTCCGATCCTCACTTTCAGAGTCCGGGGGTGCAGCGATGTGGGGTTTTCCAGGGCCTGGTCTGACCCTGAGAAGGGAGTCCGGCTGTGGGGTCCTGAGACAGGCCCTCCTGGCAGGGCAGGGTGGTGAGGCCTGAGCCGGGGGCCTGCAGGGGTGAGGTCTGCAGAGAAGCGCCGGGCTTTCCCAGGAACCTGCCGCTGCGCGCACCTGCTGACGGTCCAGTGGGGGGTGAGCACGACTTCCAGAAGGGCCTGGCCGGTGTCTGGCGGGGAGGCCGCGTGGGAGGGGGTGCGGGCCCTCGTGGGCTCTGAAGTAAGTCCCAAAGGCCAGCTCAGGCCGTGCAGACCGGGAAGGTGAGCCTGTGTGGGTGGGGTGGTGACACCCGTCCCTCCCTCGGGGGCTCTGTGAGTTAGACGATGTGTCCCAGTGGGCAAGGAGCTTAGACCACGGGGTGCAGCCCAGGAAGAGCGATGATTGCACGAACTTTGACAGGGACGCGGGCTGTGCGCCTCCGGTCTGGCCACTCCCTGGGACCCCTGTCCGCTGTTTCCGCAACGGAGTCCTGTCCCTGGAGGGCCACTTGGCTGGGTGACGGCAAGTTCCTGCCGGGACGGCGGCCAGGACGGTCCAGGGCGGAGACACTTTCCCAGAGAGCCTGGCTCAGGAGTAAGGGAGGAGAAGAGGTGGTCTCCACACAGGCCGGGCGGACGTGCGTCCCCGGAGGTGCTTGTTCAGAATCGGGTCCCAGGTGAAACCCGGCCCTGCCTGGCGAGCCCTGTGATATGGGGGGGGGGGCAGGCTAGACCCCCCCAGTTTACGGCTGAGAAGGGGGAGAGCGGGTGTGGGATTGATTCACCGGGACCGCACGGGCAACGCTAGCCTCTCCCTGTTCTGGCCAATCGCTACTGATCCTTGTATTTTCAGCTCGACTCTCGCCTCCTTGGGGGGCACCTTTCCAGATCCGTCAGGGACAACAGGTGCTTGCTTGGAACTGTGTCCTCTGTAAAGTTACCATAGTGGGAGTCGTGGGCTCACTCCCGTGACTCAGTGGCTGCCTGTCAGGGCAGAAGGAAGCAGCTCACGGCCTGACACGTGGTCGGTGACGAGGAAACGGTTGTGGGTGGAATGAAAGTCTTTTCTCACTGGCCTGCCTGCACCCGGCTGCCTTTGGGGGCCTTGGGACGCCATCCCTGGAGACGTCCAACGCCGGGGACAAAAGGGGTGCAAAGGCACCGAGGTAAGCTGAGGCCTCCCTGCTTCCTCCAGGGAGGACTCATGGCCTCGTGATGTGAAACAGCCACCAACCTTCCAGCTGCAACATTTGCAAGACCCCAGCTGAGACTGACAGGGTGTGGGGGAGAGAGTTTTTATTTCTGCGGGGAGGGGTGTCAGCGCCAGGTGAGGAGAGAGGGGGCTGGACCCACCGAGTGGGTGGGGTTACATTCAAGAGAAGGAAGAAGGAGGGGCCCTTTGGGACCAGCACAGAGGCCTGACTTAGCAGCTGCTGGGGGTCAGCTGAGGGCTGGGGGTCCTCCCTCCAGCCCTCTCTTGTAAGCCTGGAGAACAATGGCCCCCAACCCCCACAGCAAAACATCCCTCGGGGTTCAGTGTCAGAAGAGGCGGTGTGGGGTCGGGACACATCTCCTGTGGGCACAAGGGCGGGGGGAGGGGGGCCTGTGTGGCAGGTGCAGGGGGGTCACCGCTCGGGCCGAATCCCCCAAGGCGGTGCCTACGGCTAACGTTCCAGCCCCGGGGACTGTCCGCACGGTCGGCACTCACCTATTTCTGTGCGTCCCTTGCGCAGCGGCTCGGTGACCAGGACACCGGGCCTCGGCTGCCCGCGCCTGTGAGATCTGCCCTCCCCCACCCCCCCCAGCCGGGGGCAGGAATCACACACAGGACCTGCCACGTCCTTCCCCACCGACAGCCAGCTCTCGGAAGACCACACGGTTCTTTCTGAGTCTTCTGCGCACTACCTCGTCCCTCGTTCCCCCAAGAACCGCGTCGGCTCCGAGGTTCTCGCAAGTAGCAATTCACTAGAACAAAACCAGTTCCCTAGTCAGACTCAGAAAGCAATGGAATCGAAAAAAAAAAAAAAAAAAAAAAAAAAAGAAAAAAAGCAACGAAATCAACAGAATTGCGTGTTTCGTCCCGAGTCAGGACGGCGGAGACGGGCACGCGCTCGGAAGAGCCTCGTTTGCGGTCCTTTTAAAGCGACGCCGCTGATCAATCCGTCCGCGCTTTCGTTTAAACCCGGGGCACAGGGGGAGAAACAGAACAAAAGCTTCTTTTCTCCTCGCGGGAGCCTTTGCAACCCGCTGCTCCCATTTCTTAAATCTGCAGACCCCCCCCACCCCCCATCCTGGGAACCTTCATCCTCCTTGTTATCCTTGGGAAACACTCAGCAGGAAAGGAACATCTGGAAACACAGGTTTCCATGGAAAAGACAGCAGGCCGGGTTTTGTTCTCAGCACCAGCTGATGGAGACAGTCTCTCTGATGGCGGCCGGGAGCCGCCGTTGGGGTCACCGCAGTGCTGGGAGCCGCCTCTGCCTTTAGTGTTCTCCCCTCATGCTACTTGGGTCCACCTGCCGCTCTCCCCCCTCCCCCCTCCCCGGCCCGGCTTTATCTCCGCAGGACGAGGAGAGCTGGTCTCCGAGCTTCTCTGATTATTGCCCGACTGTCCTGGGTCTCCAGCCTCGGTCCGTCCCTATGCCAGCCTCTGCTGACCAGGAACAGTGTTTCAGCTCTGTTCACTTACGGCTCTGGGGCGGCCGGCCAGGCGGTGGCCAAGCAGGACCGACATGGCCATTTCCCCCTTTGCGGCCCTAAGAGAGGGAGAGAGAGAGAGGCGTGGACCTTGGCGATGGGAGAGTCCGGCTCCCTCCTTTAGAGATGAAGACCCAAGGCCCAGAGACACACAGTGACTGCCCCGGGGTTGCACAGCGAGGCCGACCCTGGGCCTTGCCTGCTGGCTCCAGTTTGGCGCTCTGTCCAGGGCTCCACGGAGCCCGAGCCGTGAGCCGGCCCTCTGAGCCGCGTCCTTGGAAGGAGAAGTGAAATGAGACGTCTGGCTGAGCCGGGCTCTGTGGCAGGATGACAGATGGCCCCCTCGCCTTGCTAGGAAGCATGTTCTGGGAACAAGAGGCCAAGCGGAGACATTTATCGGCCTCCCGGTCGGTGGCTGGGCTCGGCCAGCACAGGGGGGAAGGGAGGGAGGGCGGGTGTGAAGGCCACAGCCTCTCCAGCTCCTTCCTAACAGACACTCTCGGGGCGGACCCACGCCTCGGGCCCGGGGCCCATTCATCGCAAAGGCCAGGGCAAGGGGGAGGACACCCTTTTAATTTAGCCTGCGTTTAAAATCGGAGCATTTTAGGGGCGCCTGGGTGGCGCAGTCGGTTAAGCGTCAGACTTCAGCCAGGTCACGATCTCGCGGTCCGTGAGTTCGAGCCCCGCGTCGGGCTCTGGGCTGGTGGCTCGGAGCCTGGAGCCTGTTTCCGATTCTGTGTCTCCCTCTCTCTCTGCCCCTCCCCCGTTCATGCTCTGTCTCTCTCTGTCCCAGAAATAAATGAAGGTTGAAAAAAAAAAAATTTAAAATCGGAGCATTTCAGTTTATTCTGATTGCATCCCTGAGCCTTGCAATTTCGTGTGTGTGCACGCGAGCATACTTAATTTTTAAGGCTGTAACATACAGGATGCGGTGAGACAAGAGTTCTCCAACGTAGAGGACAGAATCATTTTTACAGGGCATTTGGCAAGTGTCTATGAAAGTCTTGAAATGTTTATCTCCTTTGTCTTTGTCTTAGGAGTTGCATTTCCAGGACCCTGTTCTAAGAAAACGATCAGAGAGGCGCCTGAGTGGCTCGGTGGGTTAAGCGTCTGACCCTAGATTTCGGCTCAGGTCATGATCTCACAGTTTGTGAGTTTGAGCCCCACATCGGGCTCTGCTGACAGCGAAGAGCCTGCTTGGGATTCTGTGTCCCGCCCCCCCTCCCCCCTCGCTCTCTGCCCCTCCTCCACTTTCTCTCGCTCTCGAGAATAAATAAACATTAAATAAAAGAAGTTTAAAATAAAAAAAAAATGATCAGAGACAGAGACAAAGGTGTTTATGGCAGCACTAAATTAGATGCAATCTTCATATCCTGCCCGTTAAGATACAACGGCGAACTATGGTCCATCCGCTTGGTAAATTTTTACGAATCATTTGAAAATGGTATATGAGCTCAGATGATATGAGAAACGCTCCCGACACGGCGTCGGGTGGAAACACGGGGCCCGCGGCCGTCGGTACGAATCTTTCGACTGATTTATCTGTCTCTCTTTCTCTCTCTCTCTCTCTCACTTTTTAGAATCCTTACACCATTTTAGAAAAAACATGGAAGAAGGAGCCACGTTCAATGTTTACGGTGATTTTCTCCGGGAGAAGGGGGATTCGGGGTGGTTTTGACCCCCTTCCCGTTTCCGTGCTGGCTTCGCTCTGTGTTTTATGCTCGCACACGTGGCTGAGGTGGTGGCCCGGTCGGAGGCGAGATTTGGCGTCTGTGGCGGGTGGAGGTGAGTGACGGCCTCTCCCTCTGTCCCGGGTATCAGTTTCCCCTTCACGGGTGTCCAGGAGGCCTGCGCATGTGGGTGTGGGTGTGTCTGGTGGCCCCCGTGAACCTCCCCTTCCCCAGTGGGCAGGGGCCCCGGCAGACAAAACTGGCCGTTCCTTTCTGGAAACAGCTGTTACTTGGAAGTCCCCATCCCCCCGTTGACCCGGTCACCATGGCAACCTGTGTGCGCCCAGCGGGGTCTGAGGACCTGCTACAAATGCGGCGGTGGAGGGCACCCAGCCGGCCACGCCCGGGCTTCGTGACAGTCCTGACGTTCTGTAGTGAGAGCATCCCCATAGGGCGGGAGTCACAAGCTCGCAGGCAGGTGCGCAGACGTATTTCATGGGGTCGACACAAGGGGACGACTCCAGGCAGGTCCCAGCCTCCAGTGGCCTCCCCGCTGTGGCCCCTGCACCTGCAGCCCCGAGGACCTGCCCCGAGGACCTTCCCAGCCTCTGCCGCCTGTGCTCACTCTCCCTCCCTCCCTTCCCCGCCTTGCCTTTGCTCAGTCCACCCCACCTACATCAGTCCTGACTCCCCACCACATGGTCCCAACCCTCCTGCTGTGTCCCTCCTCGGACCCAGCGCTGGCTTTGTCCACGGCTCTGTCCTTGCCAGCCCCGGGGGGGGGGGGGCGCAGAGCTCGGCCTGTGTCAGCGCTCAGTGCCCGCTGAGCAAAGGTGTTCTGCCCCCTCACACTGCTGAGAAATCGCAAGCTCAGAGAGGCTCAGGGAGCCACCCAGGGTCACACAGCTCTCGGGAGAAACACCGGAACTCAGGTCTTGGTCCTTCAAACGCCCGCTGGTCTTTCTTTGTACGCGTTATTACAACGTGTGGGGAACCCGGACGCTCTAGTCACTTGGGGGGCCCAGGGCTAGAGAAGGCAGACAGTGGGTGTGGCTGATGCGAACTTTGTCCTCGGAGGTGACTGAGCGGTGCTGCCCAGAAAACGCATCGGGGTTGGTCCTTGTCCGGAAGGCTGACTTCCTCCCTCGGGCAACCTCTTCTGTGCGGGGAAGAGTCCTGTGGGGCAAGGGCCCCCAGAGAGAGGGCTGAGCGTGTGGCCTTGTTCTGTGTCCGGTGGGCAGGCAGGACTCTGCACAACCCAGACCTCTGCTCTGCTGTGTGACTTCAGATGCAGCACTTACCCACTCTGTGCCTCGCTCCCTAGGCTCCCCGGGACCCTTGAGACGCTGCGGAGCTGGTTCCTACGAGGCTTACACCGGCCCCCGGCGCACGGAGAGCCTCCGCCTGCTCACGCCTGTGCCGGGGGTGGACGCGAACCAGGAATCAGGACCCCGAGGCCGCCCCTTCTCTCTCTGCACCTGGGCCCCCGGCGCAGGTGGGATCCACGCCGCTGGGCACCTTCCGGTTTCCTGCCCTTGGTTCCCTGCTGCCTTGCGACTGCTTTTAGCTAAGCCTCCGGAGGCCACGGGGAGCCTGGGGGGAGTTGAGAGCCTCCCAGCTCCGGAGGCCCCAGCCCCTTCTGTGTGGGCGCAGGACAGCCAGGCACCTGACAGCCCCCAGGCAACCTCGTGTCCCGCGGGCAGGTGTTCCCGAGGGGGACTCCCAGGGGCGCTTGGGGGCGGACGGGCCGGAACCCTGTGCTCGAGGGACACGATGTCCCTTCACACTTCAGGGCACTCAGTGCCGCGTGGGGGAGATGCGGTCTGAGCTGGGGGCGGGAGGGGGCGTGAGACCATGAGGGTGGGTTGGAGCCGTCCAGCTGGTGCAGACCCCGGGCCACTACCGCCTGGGCTGGGGGCTGGCCCTGTGGGAGGGGGAGGCCCAGGGCCCTCGAGTCAGGCTGCGGTGAGGGCAGAGGGCCCCTCCGGTCCAGCCTGTCTTGGGAAATCAGGTGACCTCACCTCAGTGGCCCCTCGCTGGGGGCAGGTCTGGGAGCCTGAGGCCCCCCCGTTTCCGGAGCCTTGGAGTCAGTTGGGGAGCTCCCTGCGGGGCTTCTTGGGGTTGCCCCCCTCCACGCTGCACAAAGGAGGCTCTGTAAGCCTGCTGCAGAGCCAGGACGGGGAGGGGGGCTGGCTGGGGCCCCCCGGGTGGGGGCGGGGGGCTGTCTCTGCAGATTCTGGGCTTCACAGGCTCCATTCAGGGCTTGGGGGGGCAGACGCTGCCTCTCTGAGCCTTCAGATCTCCCACCACCTGCTCAGGCGGGACCCCCTGTTTAAACCCTCCACGGGGTTTTCTTCCAGGGGAATAACTCGCATCCATTTGTTTCTAGCGGCTCACTTGGGGACATCAGTCCTGTGGGAGCCCTTCGGGGCTCAGGAAGTTTCCATTTGAGGCAAAGTTGAAAATGGCTGGAGTGGGATCTTGGGGGAGCTCGGGGGGGGGGGGGCTACGTGTTGCTCACCAACATCTGGTGCCTCCACTGGCTCCCTCCCCAGCCCCGGTCCCCGCCTGTGTCTTACCTCCTGGGTGACGAGGACGGGGACGGGGGCACGGTGGTGAGAGGGGACCTGTCCTCCGGGGACACCATGGGGAGGGGACGCCCGCTGAGGGCCTGCTGGGCGGGAGGAGAGGAGAAGTGTCCTCCTGTGATGACCGAGCTTGGGGAAGGGGCTGCGGAGGGGCTCACAGAGGCCTAGGTCCCGCTCAGGCGTGAGGTCTGTCACAGACCTGTTCTTGGACCTGCTGCTTTGGGATGAGCTGTCTCTGTCTCTGTTTCTGTCTCTGTCTCGCTCTCAGAGCAGCCCACTCCCCGGCCGCCCGAGGACTCAAAGCCCAGCGGGTCCTCCTGAGAGCAGTCCCTTTAGCTCCAAGAACTCGGTCACTTGAGTGCAGGCTGGTTTAGATGTTCCCGGCCAGTCTCCTGGCTCTCCCGTGGCCGAGCGAGTCCACAAAATCGCGCTTCACACTCTCGTGGCTGCCAAACCCCCACGTACACAGTCCTCTCTGATTCCCAAACACCCTGTCAGGTGGGCGTTAAGGTCCCATCGGGACAGGGAAACGGAGGCACCTGCTTGTGATTCCGGGCCTCTCCTTGCCCATCTGTAAAATGGCCAGGCTGGACAGAGAGGTTCTTCGAGGTGCTGTCCACGCAGTCTCTCCCTTGTGTGTTGGGACTGAGGGGAGGACCCTTCCCCGGACGGCGCGGGCGGGCGCTGGCCGCGGCAGGCTGCACGGTGACGTCGGAGGGTCAGAGGTGTGAGACTCATCTGGTCTCTTGGCTTGGCCCTAGTTTAGCTTCTGGCCTTGGGTGAGTCGCTTGAGCAGGCCGGACCTGTTTCCTTCTCATCCGCCAAGCGGGCTCACGATCCCACTTCCGTCTGCCACAGCCTCGTGTGAATTTCAGATAAGAGAATTGGTGTGAAAATGCCCTGTGGCCCGTGGGTGTTAAGGTGGCGTTTGACTCTTGTGAAGTGGCATATGCGTGTCATATAGAATTCAGACTTCGCGGCAGGGGGCAGAGGAGAAGGTTCCCTCCCATCCTGATCCAGCCCCCTGTTCCGTTGCTGAGAGGCAACCCGTTATTAGCTTCTTGTGTGCTCTTCCTTTGAGAGCTCCTATACGTCAAATATACATAAATGCGACATAATAAGTGTGTACATGCATGTTGCTCGTATGTAGACGCCTTTGGGATCTTTAGGAATATTCACTCATCAGATAATCCCTCCCTCCGGGAGCATGCATTCTGGCTCCCTCCGCGTGGGGCTTGGCGGTGGCTTGCTCAGGCGGAGGGGATGTGAGGAGGGGCGACCTAAGTAGAGAGCTGACATCATGCCCTTGCTGGAGCTCTCCACTTCTGCTTCTGCCACGACCACGCGAGGAACGGGCCCCGGGTGGACGGCTGGCCCTGGAAGTGAGCTGTCCCGGGGCGTCCGCACTCTGCCTGTATGGAGAAGTACAGCTGACTGTACATTTTGGAGCCTGAGAGCAAATGCGTGCCGGTGCGCGTCGCTGAGTTTGGGACTGTTTGTTAAGCAGCACTAGCTGACTGATACTCACATACGTCCCCTTAAAGGAAACAAAAAAACCAAACCTCAAATGGATGGGGTGATGCCGTGTGGACGGCCCTTCCCTCTCGCTGCAAACCTTCTGACTTTGGCTCTGCACCCACAGTCTTCAGGCCTTGCCATGGGGTTTCCAAAAAGCAGTGTTTTCCCAACGCGGTGTGTGATTTTAGGGGGTCCCGGAGACGATTTCAAAAGGTGCACAGATAAGGCACTAATGTCATTGAATCACAGAGTGAGAACATTATCCACTTTCCAAATATCCACTTCCCAAACCTCTCCTGCTCCTCTGGTGACATCAAGGGTGATGTCGAGCCCACGAACCGTGAGATCATGACCTGAACTGATGTCGGACGCCCAACCGACTGAGCCGTCCAGGTGTCCCTGGAAAGAATTTTAGACTTCCAGAAGGACTGGAAGGACAATACAGAGTGTCCCCTGCACCCTTCCCCCATCTTCCCCCAAGGCCGACATCTTTCGTAACCATCGGTCCAATCAGTGAAACCAGACGGTCCACAATCACTTGGCTGTCTTACCCTCTGCACCTGTGGAGATCTCGTCTCTGGTCCAGGACCCCACTTTGCACTGAGTGGTCCCACCTGTTTCACGTCCCCTCCGGCCTCTGACAGTTTCTTTATCTTGCACGATCTTCCTGCATTTGAAGGGTGCTGGCCAGTCATTCAGGAGAATGTCACTCAGTCTGGGTTCTCTGGATGTTTCCTCGTGAGGACCACGGACAGGGCGTTTTGCCTGCTCGCTGCGTCGCGCGTCTGGAGGCGCCTGACGTCTTGGAGACCTTCGGACACGTTTGTGTGGCTGAGGTTTGGGAGCCGGCCACAGACAGAGGCAGTTACGTGGCCGTCCCCTGGTGGCCTCTGCGACGTGGGTTCCTGTCTGCGCGGCAGCCCCCGTGACCCGGCTCCCGTGAGCATCTCCTGCCTGGGTCGTGACTCACGGCCCAGCTCTGTAGTGTCCCTTACGGGAACCAGCGACCGTGTCCCCATCCCCTGCCCCCCGCAGCCGGTCCTGAATGGTGACTGAGCTCAGACCCCACTTAGCTTTTATCATCGTGCTTTGTGAGATGCGCTCACGCCGGCTCAGGCGAACAGTGCGAGACAGCTCTTTGGATTTGATCTCCCCTTAGATGACGCTTTTTGGGCTGGAAAATAAAGACGTCCCAGGCAGGTGGGAGTCATGACACCCTCGGAGAGCCATCTCGGCCTTTTTCCGTTCGACCCCAGCAGAGGCTTTCCCAACAGATCTTGCCAAACTATTGCTTTGACTTCCTTTCCCTTCATGCTCAGGAAAATGTGCCGTGAAATCACAACATCTCTTCCCTGTGCGATCGGAAGACACTCTCTCTTTTGGCCTCCTTCCCACGTGGACTCTCCCTGGGGCTCCGGAAAGAGGAGGGGGCTTGCGCCTGCTGCTGGCTCCGGGCAGCCGGGCGCTGGTTCAAGGCCCCAGGGTGCTGTCCTGAGGAGGAAAGCCAATTACCCGAAGTTGGGACGGATTAACCACCGTGGAGGGCTGGATCTCAGAAGAAAGACCTCCCTCTCCCTGGCATCCATGTAACGAGGTGATGGGCCATGGGGAGGCCCTGGATGGCCCCCTGGAAGTGACGGGCTAGAGGGAGGCCCTGGACGGCCCCCAGGAGGTGATGGGCCACGGGGAGGTCCTGGACGGCCCCCAGGAGGTGATGGGCTAGAGGGAGGCCCCAGACGGCCCCCAGGAAATGATGGGCCACGGGGAGGCTCCGGACGGCCTCCAGGCCTGCAGTGATCCCCTGGCTCGGCTTGTGTCAAATCTGGCTCCCAGCGTCCCCACCTCATGCCGACTGGCCTCCCGTGTCAAAGCTGACGGAGGGAGATGACAAATAGGTAGTTACGGTTCTTGGTCAACATGAGTCACTCCCTTGTTTTTCTCGCTGGTGTGCGAAGTCACACGGGAGACGGCAGCTTCAGAGCAGAGAAGTCCGGGAGGTGGGCGGGTGCCGTGCGGGCAGGTGCATGAGAACAGGGAGAAGGGGACCGGCTGAGGGCAGTCTCAGTGCCGCCTGGGCCCCGGGAATGACAGGGGGGAAACACTCTGGGCCGAGTCCGGGGAGGCCCCGTGCTCTCCTTCTGTCCAGTCGGCAGCCTTTCTCCTCGAAGTCTGAACCTCCTCTCGGGCCGGAACCGGTCGCTGTGGCCGTTCATCGCACCGTGAGTTGTGGCCGATGGAGCGTGGACAGGAGTGATGTGTGGTGCAGGACTGGGCTCAAACCACCTCGTACAATGACCCTCCAGTCCCCCGGGGACGGAAGGAGCCTGGGTCCCTGGGTCCCCACGCGGAGGGCAGCCCCCAAGGACAGCCTCCTCGCATGCGGCGGCCGTGACGCCGACAGGAAACCCACCTGAGTTTTGTGAGGTCACCGAGACCCTGACGCTGCTCCTTCCTGGCTGTAGGGGGGGCTGTGTTCTTCCCGCCTGGTCCGTGGCCTGGTCCGTGGCGCTGCAGTGGCCCCTGGCTCTCTGCATCCGGGGAGGGGTGCGGGGACACGAACGGAGAGGCCTTGCCGCGTGTCCAGCAAGCCCAGGTGGGGTGCACACACACACAGGCGCGCGGGGCCCTATCAACCGAGATGCCTGCGTGGCCGGAAACCCCTCGGTCCCAGTGGTAAAAACCGTAAAGCTGAAGTCTCC